GGGCGTCATATTCATGCTGGCTCACCTTTTGAACGGTTCGGAGCCGCAGACGGTCGAGCGCAAGGATTTGGGCATCGTCGCTGTTGGACAGCGGGCCTACCTCCGCAGTGTTTTGAAGGACGGGCGGTGGGCGATGACGACGAAATGTCAACTGGCCCCGCGGCGACTTCGAGCTGCCTTCTTGGCCCCGTGGCCGGACCCCTGGCCCGCGGGCACTTGAGTGCCAGGGGCGCGGCGGCAAGCCCCCTGTGTCTGAGAGGTCTCATTTGCCGGTGGACAGGTGGCCCCACCCGCAAGTGCAGCGCCTCTTGAGGAGGGCGCTGTGGCCAGCTGTCTCTGCGCCCTAGGATCTCAGCACTCCCGAACATGACTGCGCCACGCTGCAGAAGCGCGTCGGCGGCGGCATCCTGGAGGCCAGGGAAGCCCCCCTTGACGACTCGCTGCGCGCGGGGGGCCGGGGCCAGGCGGGCCCGGGGAAGCGGGCGATGGCGGCGCGGCATCCCGAGGGCCCGTTGGGCGAGCGCGACGCGATTCACGGAGCCCTTCCTTCGCGCGTTATGACGTGATTTAAGGGGTCTTTCCTCTGCGCGCCGCGGTGCCGACGCGGCAGAGCTGCGCGCCCTGGCCAAGCTTTCCCAGACGCGCGACGTCCCGATATCTTCAGGACGGCGCCTCCAGAAGTCCAGACCCGTTCCCCGGGGCCGGTTTGTCATCCTGAATCCTCTTCTGACGGCCCGCAGGGGCCGGCGAGCGCCCCCTGGGCTGAAAATCATCGGAAACGTGCCGTCCGGACTGTTTTACGACGCGATGACGTCTGGGACGGGAGATCGGGGGCGGCCACGAGGAGGGCGTCCCAGAGGGGGGGGGGAATCATGACCGGCGGCACGCGCGCGGCCCAGCGCGGGGACCAGGGACGCAATGAAATAAGAGGCGCCATGAAATCTGGGGAAATATTATGGCCCCCGCCATGATATTCACCCCCCCTAAAATCATCGCCCCCCTCTTTGCCGCCCCCCAGGAGACCGCCGACTGCTGTTCGGCCCGGGCCGGGCCCCGGCGGGATTTTTTTGTTCGGCTGCCCTCCGGGGCTCCGGGGGGCCTCGGACCTCGGGGGCTCCGGGAGCGGAGCGTCGAGGCCCAGGTGCGTCTGGGGCCGACGTCGACGGCGGCGGCGCGCATCGGTGATATCGGCCCTGGAACTGCCGAGCGACGCCCGGGCCATGCGCGCCGGGTCTGAGCGCGGGCTGCCGCCCGACGTCCGCGAGAAACGTTCGCGGCCAATAGCTGCGCCCAAGCGTTCGTGCCAAGTCGCGAACTTCAAGGTGGCGCCATGACCAAACTGGCCGAGAGAAATTCGCAGCGCGCCGTCGCACGCCCGAGAGGATTCGCGAACGTCGACCGCGTCATGGCCGCGAAACTTCACCGCGGCCTCGGTCTTGCTGGGCCCCCAGCTAAAGGTGCAAGTGGCAGTTTTCGAACACGTTCAGCAGCGCCTGCAACGATGCGTCAATAGCCTTCTGGGGCGCCCCGGCCGACGCCGACGCCAACGTCGCGCCTGCGCCCTCGGCGAAAGCGCCAGCGCGGGCGCGCATTCGGCGTTGGCCCCGCCCGAAGTCGGCCGCGAGGGGCCCGCGGGGGCTCGCGGCCGGAGCGCGGTGCCGACCTGGCGAAGCCGCCACTCCAGCACGTCGCGGGGGGCGTTGCACGCTGCATCGAAGATGAATGGGCCGACGGCGCAGCCCTGGCGCCCGCCCCCATGGACTCGAGCCGCTCAGCGCCGCCCTGCGCGCGGAACCGCGCGCAGCGCGCGAGAGCGCGCCGGCCGCCGCGGCGCGCGCCGCGCTGCTCCAGCAGGGGCCCGCGCCCACCCAGACGCGCGATAACCCGCGCGGCCGCGGCCGCGGACGCGCAGGGGCATCGCGGGTAGGCAGGGCGCTCGCACGCGGGCACATCGCCGCGGCCCAGGACCAGCTGCTTGATGGCGCGGTCGAGGGCCATCACCAAGTCCAGGAACAAGATAGAGATCGAACAATTGATGCATGGCGCGGGCCACGGTTGCAACCGCGGTCGCGACGTGCGCGGCGACATCGGCGCCGCGTCGGCGAGCCGCCCCGTGCTGGTCGCTCGTCAAACGCTGCTCGCAGGCGGGCTCGACGGCGCTCTCGGGAATGCCCGCTAGGCCTCGGCGGCGTGGTCGCTGAGGAGCAGACCGCGCGACAAGTCGCGCGCTCGGACATCGCCTCTCCTTTTCCAGGCGCCGACGATCTCGCCGCCCTGCCACTGTGATGGCGGATTTAGTTCGCCGCGCTTGGTTGCAATGGCACTTCCGCTGGCCTGCGACACCTCGCCCGGCGGCTCGCCTGGGCCCGCGCCTTCGCTTTGGCCAAGCCGAGCAAACCCAGACTCGGCGGCCGCGGGGCCGATGTCAAGGCGCACGGCCACAGGGCCCGCCGGGGGGGGGGGCGCGCGCGCCCTGCTCGGGGCCCGCGGGCGCGCCGCAGTAGACTGCCTGGCAACGCCCTCCACCACCACCACCACACGCGGCAGCGCGGCATCCGCGTCGGCGGCAAGGTGGCCCGCACCAAGAGCAAAAACATTCAATGCGCAGGGCGGAATTTCCATGCTCGAACGCCGCCCAGGCCTCCGCGGCCTGCGAATCGAGGAGTCGCGAGCGGTCCTTGGCCAAGCTCGGAGCGGCAAGACGCAGAAATTTTCGAATGGCGACGAACCACTCGGCGCACTGGCGCGCGCGCTGCTCGCGGCGGCGGATGGGGTCGACGGCGTCGCCCAACTCGCGCCAGCAGTCCTCGCGCGCGGCACCCCAGCGGGGGCCGCGGGCAAGGGCTGCGGCGCCGCGGCGGGGGCCGCGCGCAAGGACAGCCGCAGCGACCACCTGCCGCGGGCGGAAAGCACCGCCCACGCGGGGCGGCGGCGCAGCCGGGCGGGCGGCGTGCACCCGCCGCCGCGCAGGCGCAACCATGCGGGTGATGCCCCATGTGGCCGGAGAGATCCACGCCTGCTCGAGGGGGCCCCCAGGGCGGCCAAACGCCGCAAGCGCAGCTCGGCGCGCGCGCGCAGAGAGGGCGGCCAGCCGCGCGTTCACGCCAGCGCCGGCAAGACGTTGCAAGGCCCTGACCATTTGCTGGGAGACCTCGCACGCCCGCGGGTCGGCCATCTTTGCCTGGTTGATGCGGGGGCGCGGCTTGGACTTGAGCCGGCGATCCATCGGCGTTGCGGGTGGCCTCTCCAGCGCGACGACGGGGCGGCGGCCTTCGTGGGCGTCGGGGGTCAAGTCCACAGCCAGATGCAATCTACAATTTGTCACCATGCGCGACGCGCGCAGGCGAGTGCTGAGCACATAGCCGATGCGATGCCGCTTGCCGCAGATAGAGCACCAGGTCGACCCGCCCGGCCAGAGCGCGTTCACGGCTGCGAGGCCTAACTCATCGCGGCGCACGCGAAGGCGCGCGCCGCCGAGGCCCATCGGTGGCCGCGTGCCCCTTGACAGCGAAGCGAGAAGCGGCGGATCCGATTCGGCCATTGGCGCCCGCAGCAGCAAGCAAGGGGGCACGGGCAGGCGCGCGCTTCAACGCGCGCATGGCGCTCTACGCAGAACTTGCGGCGCGCGCCCTCGGGCGCGAGGCCGCGCAGGGCGCGCGCCGCGAGGGCCACTGCGGACGCTCCGCTGCGGTTCTTCAGCGCTGCGCGCAGCGGGCGCGGCGACGTTCGAGGGCGCCGAACTTCGCGCTTCGCGCTGCGCGAAGCGCGAATCACTTCGCACTCTAGCGCCGCCCCCAAGGGGAAAGAGCAGGGCGAGGGGGGATCGGGCCCAAATCGCGAAGCGCGAGGCGCGCGCGCCTTCGCGCCCTCGAGGGCGCCCCATGGACCAGCCTCGCAACCAGCCCGGGCCCGTGCCGGGCAGCCCCGGGGCCCCGCGAAAGCTCCCGGGCGCCGGGAATGACGGAAGGTCCGGTGCCGTTGCTGCTGGAAGCGACGGGCCCAGGGAATGCGGGGGGGGCATTCGCGGCCCCGGCGTCGCTGCGCCGACCGCGCAGACGTGCCGCGGCGGATTTTTGCGTGGATCTCTGCCCATGCAAAACCCCAGGGCGGCGAAAGAAAAATGAAGTGAATGTCGCGTGGGTTTCTTGTAGTCTTCATTCCCGGCCAGCAACAGATCCGCACGAAATTCGCTTCGAAGTCCAGAGCGAAACTGTCTGGGGCAATCTGGGCCCACCCAATTGTGTTCCGAGCGAAATCCGCTCTGCGTTGTGGGCGCCATGGCCAGTGGGGGGCGTCGCTGCGCAGCTTGCAGCGCACTCGCAGCCCCAGACATGCGACGTCCTGATTTTTTTCAGGACGGCGCCCCTGGACGCCCCGACGCTTTCCCCAGGGTCCAGCGAGGGCGCCCTGGGACCGAGAATGACGAAAAACCTCCCGTGGCCATGTTTTCACGACGCGAGGTCTGGGACAGCGCAGCTTGCAGCGCACTCGCAGCTGCGCGCCCGGCGATCTATCGGCAGCGGCGGCGGCCGCATGCCGGCGGCAGCGCAGGCGCAGGAGCCCCCTCGCGCCTTGGACCGCCCCCCCTGCGCGCCCACGGCGTCGCAGGCCTTCGCGTCAAACTGCGCCTCCAGCGTCTCCACCTGGTCGGAGACTGGGCGTCGCTTGATGGGGGGGCGACCAATAGAGGGGAGAAAGGTCCACTTCTCGGGCCCTAGAGGCCCCCTGTGGGGCTCCAAAGGGCCCCTTTAGGGGCCCTCGAGGGAAAATTTGCCGCGGCCCTCGCTGCCCCCAAATGTATCGCCTCCCCATTGCGCGACGCCCGTGCGTACATTGTCGAGGACCGGGTCGACGCTGTTCCGTGAGTGGCCGCGCCCCTCCTGGCGCGCCTTCAGGGTCCGAGCGCTGGCTGGCGCCAGCGGGGCGTCAGAGCGCAGATGGGGGCTTGCGTCGCGATCGCCAGGCGCAGCGGCGCCACGAGGCAATGGCGCAGCGCCCACGCGGTGGCGCATGCCGCCCTCGTGAGAGACCGCGCCGTGCACGACAACCGAGGCCACCGCAGTGCTGGGCATCTGTGACGACCTCGCAGCCTCCTCGGCGCCCTGGCAGGGTAGGCCGAACAATTTTTCCCCGACGGCCGACTTGAGCACCTTGCGCGACGCGTCAGGCCAGAAGCCCTGTAGCGTCGTCTCCTTCGGTCGTTTCCCATCGAGGCGGGCGCTCGCGGCCGCGGAGATCACAGCTGGCTCCTGCTTGCCGGCCATGCGGCGTGGCTGTCGCATCGCCGCGGTCCCGGCCACCGCGCTCGCCTGGGCCATCGAGTCCTGCGAGCACTTCAGCAGCTGCTGCGAGAGCTCGCTCGCGCGCGCGGGGTCGGCGCCCTGCGTGGCCGCCAGCTCCGCGACCATCGCAGGAGCCGCCGCTTCCAGCTGCTGCGCGCGCGAGGAGTCGCGCGGTGGCGCTGGGAGGGGTGCGCCATGGGCGCCTGGAGAACCTCAAAGTCCTTGGCCAACTGCAGACACTCGGCGTCGGCCGCCTCGAGGACCGCCTGCGCCTTGACCAGCGCTTCTCTCGCCGCCGCCTGGCGGGCGTGGGCGCGATCTCGGCGAAATCGAAACGGGCGGCGCTCCGAATGCGCGCGATCACGCCGTCGAGCTGCGCCTGCAAGGCCACGCGAGCCGGCCCAGCCTCGGCCTCGGCCAGCTGCGGGAGTGCAGCGATGGAGTCCTCCAACTGCTTCTTCACGTCCTTCAAGTCATTCAGATGCTACGCGGGCACCTCTACAGCGGCCGGCGGTGATGGCGCGGCCACTTTCCACAAGCTCGACGGCGGCGCCGTTGCCGTGATCAGGGCGCCCACCTCCTGCAGTTGCGCCCGAACCTGATTCGAGGAAGGTGCAGGCAAGGCAGCAGCAGGAGGATTCGGTGACGCCGCCTCCGCACAGCTGCGCTTCATGCCACAGGTACTGCAGGCGCTCTTCGTGGTGCAGAGTGCCCCGCAGCCCTTACACGTCCACTGCCTGCGGCGAGGCGGCGTAGTATTTTGGGCCTGGCTGATCCAGTGCCGCTTCCCATCTGGGTCCTTGCGCCTCCCCGAGGAGCCCGAACCCAAGTGCGAATAGCCAGCCCCCCCGCCGTGACGATGTCCTGCAGTAACTGGCCGTCCATCACACCATCACCCCGAGATAAGCTGGTCGACTAGCAGGCGCGACGCGCGAGAGTGCTGGGAGCGTCGTTCAGACTTACAATCAGCTGGAGCCTTGGCGCCTTGAGCCGAAATCGGTACGGACACTGCCACCGTGCTTTGAGGCACGAGTTGGAATGTCCTCGGGTCCATTCGAATTGTTGGCATTGAATTATGTGAATATTTGTTCATGGGGCCTACAACCCGGAGTTCCTTTGCGCTCCTGGGCGCTCCTGGACGCTCTCGGGGGGTCCACGCGTGACTTTTCGAGAATTCAGGAATGCACGGTTCGGGACATGCGTGTCCAACGTGGTTTCAGATGTCCCCAGGGACTGTCCTAGAGCCTTTTTGGGCGCCTCTTGAGCTGTCTTGGAAGCCCTGGAACAAGGCCCAAAGGGGCCGAAATCGCCCAAACCCGTAAATTTGCTATTGCTTTTCGCATTACCGCCTTTTCGGTCTTCGCCCAAGAGGGATCGCTCCAAAACTGCACAAGAGCCGGCCCAAGAGGCCCAGAGCAGCCCAAATCAGGCCTCAAAAGGGCCCCGAGACGCCCCGAAACACTCCCAAAGCCGCCTCCAGGTGGCATCCGCGAGGCAGCCCAAGAGATCCTCACAGGCATCAGGAGGCCTCTGACCTACAACCGGGGCGCGGTGGCGGGATGGACCGAAGTCCACTATGCAATGCTTTACGTATATACATACACATAGACATATAAAATGCATCTACACATTCACCTGCATACCCATGTACACATACGTACACATATCCATATACATATACATATACACATACATATACGTCAACTACATACATACATAGAACAACCACATACATACATACATACATACATACATACATACATACATACATACATACACATGCATACGTACATACCTATATACAGACAGGCATACACGCATACAAACCGACATGCAGACACATTGACAGTCAGGCAAACATATACACAGACAGACATTCATACATACATGCATGCATACATCCATACCTGCATACTTACACATACATACATACAGTACATACATCCATAATTCAGTCAATGAATGCATACATACATACAAGAACGCATACACACGTACATGTGTACATGCAGACGCACGCACACATGCATACATGCATACGTACATGCATACACACATACACACATACATGCATGCATGCACGCACACATACATTATTCAAATATACAGTCACACATATGTATACACACATATACACCTACATATATACACACACCCATACATACACAAACATACAGCACGCATACACACATACATGCAGACATATACACACCTACCTACATACGTGCTTACATACATGCCTACACATACATGCACACACATACACACATACACGCATTCATACATACATACATGCGCACGCACACACATACATACATAGTTGCATGCAGGCATACATGCATGCGTGCGCACATACATAAATACGTACACACACATCCACATATGCATACGCACACATACAGGCATGCACATATACATACATGCATACATACACGCATGCATACATACGTACATACTTACAGACATACATATTGACCTGCATGCCTGCATGAATGTATACACATATCGATATGTATATTTATATGTATATATATATATATATATACATAAGAACATGCACACATACACACGTACACACATACACACATACATACAGATATACATGCATATATACATATACACATACATTAATACATACACATATACATACATGCATGCATACATACGTACATGCATCAACGCATACATATATACAGACAGACAGACGCACAAACAGACAGACAGACAGACAGACAAACATATTACAGACATGTGGTGACAACGACTGCACATCGAAGAACTAACTACCCTGGCCAACTTTCTGGCCAACCTCGGCCAAGCCTCCCAGCCAATCTCTCCAAACAAACCGAATTAGGTCAATATTCACCGCAATCCATCGTGTGTATGTATGTTCGCAAGGGGTCCAGAAGCCTGAACCCAAGAAAGCTGCCATATCATGGGGCGCATCTGTTCCTTCCGCCAATTTCTGCAAGCGTCGCCGGCTGAGGCGTCCTGGTTGTACTTCCGCCAGCTTCCCCCCGTCTTCCGCAGGGAAAGGAATACCAAATTCGTCAACCCTCGAAATCAAAGTCCCACCAGCCCTCTGGGCGTCGGTGGTTTAGAGCGTTTCCTCTTCCACCCCTCCTTCTTCCCCTTCGGGGAGGGGTTTACCCCTCCCCTACCCCCTCCCCACTGACCTGGACAGGGGGGGCCGCGGGTAGTTAGAGCGTCCAAGAACGACCCCTGGGAGGGCTAAAATTCGACACCCCTCACGAGGATCGTGCCCCCCAGGGGGGCGACGCTAAAAAATGCTTCCCCCTTCTGCGATCGATGTCCTCCAAGAGGGCCTCAAGAGACGTCTCGGACTCTCCTCTTGCGCCCTGCGCGCGGGCGGGCGGAGCGCCGCCCGCCCGCCCGCGAGGCCCAAAAGCCCACCAAAACGTTCGAAGATACCTCCAAGACGCCACCAGGGAAGAGGAAGAGGCGGAGGAGGAGGAGGAGGAGGAGAAAGGGAGGAGGAGGAAGGGAGGAGGAGGAGAAGGCGGAGGAGAAGGAGGAAGAGGGGGAGGAGAACAGCTGCCGATCATCGGCGCTCTTCGTTCGAGTGCCTGGTGTAGGATGGGCTGGTGGGGATACGCGAAGCGTCAAGAATTTCTCGAACAACAAGGGAAGAGAGAGAGAGAGAGAGAGAGAGAGTGAGGCAGAGACAGAGGGGAGGAACAGAGAGAAAGAGAGAGAGAGAGAGAGATCCACAGGGAGACGGACGGATGGCATGGTGAGGACAGACGGACGGGCGGACAGACAGGCGACATGCAGACGGACAGACAGACCGACAGACGCAGTGACACGGACACACAGAGCTCCAGCCCAATGAGCTCGTAGTAGCAGGAGAGAAAGAAATCGGGGGGGCACCTCAAGCTAAGCTTACCTCCCTTTCCTCCCCCGCCCCCTCCTGGAATCGTCGCCGTCACCGTCACCGTTTTCGGAGTCGTCGCAATCACCACGAGCATGGTCACAGCCATGCTTGCCATGCGCATTGCTATCGAAATCACAACCAGTGCCACCATTGCCAACACCGTCATCGTCACCGCCTCCGTCACCAACAAAAGCAAGATCGGCATCATGCCATCATACTCCCTTCACTCCGCCGTCGTCGCCAGAGCTCCTAGCATCCATGCACCGCCAATCACCACCTGCAGCACATCGTCACTGCCGCCATGATAATCACTTCCGCCATCCCCATCACGAGCTGGCACGACTGCTTGCGGCGCCGCCGCCACCATCCTGTCTGCCCTCCTGCCAGGGGCCCCCACTACTGGCAAGGCCTGCTCTGCTCTTCGACCTGTGGCTCGAGCCAAAACCCTGCGGCCAAGCGGCGGCAGAACGAAGGCACACGAGGGGTGCTGGGGATGAGGGCACCAAGACAGACAGGGCAGGGCCGCACCGGGCACGGGAAGACGACACCAGCAACAGGGCGCAAGGTCGTACAGATTGCGCCGATACTCTGTGCCCTGCGGGCTCCTCTTCCTCTCCTCCTCTTCGCCGCGCACTTGCCCACCGCTCGCTTGCGCGTGCCCGCTGTTCGCTGCCCCGCGCGTGCTGCCTGTCTGTGCTCTCGCTCGTGCGCCGCACGCGCTGCGAGCTTCGCGGTCAGAGCCGGGCCCGTGCCGGGGTCCCCGCCCCTGCAGCATGGGTTCTCTGGGCCCCTTTGCTGTGTGTGCAGGCTGCCCCGGCGGCGAACTGGGGAATCACCTCTCCGGCCCCGCCGTCCCAGCCAACAGGCGAGGGATGGGGGGGTTGAAACGCAGAGCCCGAGCAAGGGCGACAGGTGGTTAGGGGTACGAGTGCAGACCATTCCGTGGCGCTGCAGGGAGGAAGGAGCGGACGCACGCGCGACGAGCGAGGACGAGGGGCGAGGCCGGGAGGAAGGGAGAAAGAGGCGAGGCCAAAGAGAAATCGAGCAACGTCGTAAGCGGTCCCTGTGCCGAGGCCAAGAACTGTTGGGTGCGACTTAAGCTCCCTCTGGCCTGCGAGCCGCAGCCCCTGACCCAGACCGAAGGGAAGACAAACCTGCGATCGTCGCTCCCGGCCGCCTTCGCGTTACCAGGGCGGCGGGCGCGCGTCAGGCCCGGAGGCTGGAAGACGGCCTCCAAGGGCGGAGGAGGAGGAGGACGGCTACAGGAGGAGGATCGAGGAGGAGGAGGAGGATCGAGGAGGAGGAGGATCGAGGAGGAGGAGGATCGAGGAGGAGGAGGAGGAGGAGGAGGAGGAGAGGAGGGAGGAGGAGGAGGAGGAGGAGGAGGAGGAGGAGGAGGAGGAGGGAGGAGGAGGAGGAGGAGGCACGTGGGCTGAGCTTGCGCGAGGGTGGGCGCTCCGCTGGACCCGCCAGGGGCTCGACGAAACGGCGAGGAGTCTGTGCTCGTCAGAGCCCACGAGCGAGGGGGGACGATACAGTGTAAGAAACCTCCTCCTCCTCCTGCTCCTCCTCCTCCTCCTACTCCTCCTCCTCCTCCTCCTCCTCTTCCTCCTCGATCCCCTCCTCATGCTCCTCCTCGTCCTGCCTCGTCGTTGTAGTCGTCGTCGTCGTCGTCGTCGTCGTCGTCGTCGTCGTCGTCGTCGTCGTCGTCGTCGTCGTCGTCGTCGTCGTCGTCGTCGTCGTCTTCGTCGTCGTCGTCGTCGTCGTCGTTCTCCTCCTCCTCCTCCTCCTCCTCCTCCTCCTCCGCCTCCTCCCATTGTCAGTGCCCACGAGTGAGGGGGAACGATGCAGTGGGGGCCCGACCACGAGAAACCTTCTACAAGAAACCCGACCTTGAGACCCCAGGACGTCCAGTCATGTGTTGGTGTGGGAACATCGCGCTTTTCCATCGCAAAGCCACCGGAACCCAGGAAACCCAGGGCACCCCGGAGGCAAGCAGGGTGTTTCCAGGCATGGGTCTCCACTGTACGTGCTCGAGACTGCCAACAGCACGTGGTGACTGCGTTCTCAGCTGCGAGCGCGAGGATGTCCGCGGAAGGGCCAGCCCCCGGCCACGATGCGCAAGCCTATGGGGTGAGGGCCCCAGGCGGCCTTGACAGGCCCCTTCTACACGGTAGAGGCAGGACCCGAGGACACAAGTTGATGCTGCTTATCCTGCTCCTCGACTCCTTCCTCATGCTCCTCCTCGTCCTTCCTCGTCGTCGTCGTCCTCCTCCTCCTCCCCTTCCTCCTCCTCCTCTTCCTCGTCGATCCCCTCTTCATGCTCCTCCTCGTCCTGCCTCGTCGTTGTAGTCGTCGTCGTCGTCGTCGTGTTCGTCGTCGTCGTCGTCCTCGTGGTCGTCGTCGTCGTCGTCGTCGTCGTCGTTCTCCTCCTCCTCCTCCTTCTCCTCCTCCTCCTCCTCCTCCTCCTCCTCCTCCTCCTCCTACTCTTCCTCCTGCGCCTTTTCCTCGTCGGCCCCCTCCTCCTCCTCATCGTCCTCCTCATCATCCTCCCCCTCTTCCTCGACCCGTCCTCATGCTCCTGCTCGTCCTTCCTCGTCCCCCACGCCCTCGTCCTCCTCCTCCTCCTGCTCCTGCTCCTCCTCCTCCTCCTCCTCCTCCTTCTCCTCCTCCTCCTTCTCCTCCTCCTCCTCCTGCTCCTCGACCCACTCCCCATGCTCCTCCTCGTCCTTCGTCGTCGTCCTCCTCCTCCTCGTCCTCCTCCTTCTCCTCGTCCTCCTCGTCCCCCTCGCCCTCGTCCTATTCCCCATCCCCTCATACATGATTTCTCTTTATCGCACCCCCAGGCATGGTGGTAACGCGGGCCGGGCACTTCGTTTCAGACACCTCACCAGTTCTGGTCCTGGAAGCTTGAACGTTGGATCGGCTACACGGGTGGAGGGGGTGTCAAAAGGTGGCTCTCGCCTCAGCGCCGCGCACATTCGTCTTGGAAGCTTGCAACAGCTGCGCAGATGGATGGGGAGGGGGTTCTCAACAAGTGGCTCTCGCCGTAGCGCCGCGCACATCATGGGCCCTCAGTGTCTGCAGCAGCCTCGCTGCCACGGATGGAGCACATGTGATTTTCAGCATGTGGCTCTCGCACTAGCGCCGCGCAAAACCGTATTCGAAGTTTGCAACAGAGCACGGATGGAAAAGGGGGTCAGCATGTGGTTCTCGCCGTAGCGCCGTGCACACTCGTCGCAACAACGACTCATACCCGGATGCAGGGCAGATGTTGCTCACATGTGGCTCTTGCTGTAGCGCCGCGCAAATCCGTCGTAAAAACCTGCAGCAGTTCCACGGACGGAGGGCGGCGCCTTTCTGAAAACAACGGCTCTCGTCTTAGCTCTGCGCGCATTCGTCTTGGATGCTTGCTGCTGTTGGGGGGATGGGGGCTCTTGCTTGGGACGTCCCTCGAAGCACATGGCCAGAAGGGCAACCCTGCGCAACAGGTACACAGGTGGGGGCAACCCTTGTTCAAAATGGTGGCATCGTTGGACACGCCGGTGAGCAGCAGGATCATACGTTTGTGTTCTTCGCTGGAAGGTGGATGGTTTCCCCGAGGGGTGTAGGCGACCCGAGGAGGGGAGGGCGAGGAGGAGGAGGAGGAGGATCAGAGGAGGAGGAGGAGGAGGAGGAGGGGGGAGGAGAAGGAGGAGGAGGAGGAGGAGGAGGAGGGCCTGCATGGACTTCTGGGGGAAGGTGCTTGGGACGGGAGGGTGCTTTTCTGAGCATGTCCGCAGGGTGGAGGGCTCAGGGTGACATCCATATGGGCTTGTGCACCTCGAAAATCAATACGTCTTGTGATTCACCTTTTGCAGATTCAAGCCTCGAAAATCCATCGGAACGGGGGTGCCCCCAGAGACAATGCTCGGGGGTGCTTGGGACGGGAGGGTGCATTTTTTCCAAACACCTGCAGGGTTCCCTAGAGGGCCTGAAGAGTCCCAGGGCCTCGGGCAGAGGATGAAACCACAGCCTGCCGCAGCAACTCGGCCCATGCCGCAGTGCCGATCGGCGGCGGAGGAGCCTGGCAACGGGCATGCTTGGGACGGGAGGGTGCGTTGCAGCACCGATGATGCATTGCAGCACTGGTCCTCCTCCTCTTCCTGCAGAGGGGGGGGCGGCCAGCGCACAGCCCAAGGGGGAAGGCCAGCCCTCGGCGGCGAGCGAGGGGGGGAAATGGAGAAGGAGAAGGCCTTCTCGGAAGGCTCGGAAGTCCCCAGGCCTTCTGAAGTCTTTCCCGAAGACGCAGAAAACCTCTCTGAAGGCGCGAGGGCCTCTGAGAGGTCCTGCCGCCTTCTGAGAAGGCCTGCTCCTTCTCACTTCCCCCCCTCGCTCGCCGCCGAATCCCAGACATGTGATGTCCTGATGTTTTGTAGTACGGGGTCCCCCGAAATTCCCGACCCTTTCCCCAGGGCTGGCTCTTCGTCGCGAGCCGTTCTTTGGGCCGGTGCCGGGGCTCGGCCAGGGCCCCCCGCGGCCTAGAACGGCCAGAATCCTCCAGCCGTGCTGTTTTCAACGGCGCGAGCACGCCTGGCACTACAGTCGGACCCGGGACAGAAGAACGTCACCCAAGAACATGACAAACTACAACAATTGCCAATAATATCAAACCTGTGATCTGTATGATGTGACATAGCTTTTTGGCCAGTGGTACGTGTGAGCGTCCTCCTCGTCCTCCTTCTCCTCCTCCTCCTCCTCCTCCTGCTCCTCCTCTTCCTCCTTCTCCTCCTTCTCCTCCTCCTCCTCCTTCTCCTCCTCCTCCTCATCCTCCTGCTGCTCCTCCTCCTCCTCCTCTTCCTCCTTCTCCTCCTTCTCCTCCTCCTCCTCCTCCTCCTCCTTGGCATCCTCCTCGTCCTCCTCCTCCCACTCCTCCTACTCGTCCTCCTCCTGCTCCTCCTCCTCCGATCTATTCCCCCGTCCCTCTGCCCCTCCTTCCCCGTCCTGCCCCTGCCCCGCATCCTCCTCTTCCCCCTGCACTTTTTGTTGTTGTTCCTTTCGCAGGCGTAGCGCCCTGACCTTCAGGCATCGCGCGCCTCCTCAGTCGGGCCTCGCGGACCACCTGCCATACCTACTGCTCGTGCCCCTGCTGCTCCTCCTTCCCACCGAACACGAAACAACGACGTGGAGAGTACGACTCCCCTCTTTTTGAGAAGGGTTGCTCAGCATGCCGCGGCGTTCCGCACGCACTACGGGGGGGCGCCCCCATCAGCGCACGAACGTCATGGGCCTGCTGGCCTTGAACGTTGTGCGCAGCTTCTTGGCCACCAGCGGCAGCTTCGTGATCACAGGATACTTGAGGCCCGAGTCGTGCATCTCGGTGACGTGGTCCCTCCTGCAGGCGCCCGCTGGGATGGCCGTTGCGTGGATGATCTGGATGGACCCTGCCTGCGCCCGGTGGCGGCCGGCCATCTCCTGGTACAGCTGGCTGATGGCGCCGTTGATGGTGATGTCGCGGAACTCCTTGTACATGTTGTGTGTGTCGGTGCGGCTCTCGTAGCGCAGCCATACCTCCACCGCCGTCCACTGCTCCCCCCAGTCTCATTCTCCCACTCGTCCTTCCGAAGCTTGCCATCGCTCGCACGTCCATTCCACGTGCCTGTTTCGACTGCGTGCGTGATTTTCTTTCGCAAGATGGTCCCAGGTCCTCCTCGATGGTCCTGGCCGAAAGAAAAAAGAAAAGAGCCCACGCCCGAGCGATGCCAAAGAATGGGGGGGGGGGCAGGGGACGGAAGCGGTGGATCTGGTGACTCCCGGGCACGCCGTAGTTCTTCACCTTCGTGGGGCCCCGGTCGAACAGCTCGTTGACCGCCAGCAGCTCCCCTCCGCTCTTCTTCGCCTTGTTCAGCTTCTTCATGAAGTACCAGAAGCGCGACTTGGCCAGGACCTTGATGGGCGTGTCTTCCACCACCCCCACCCCCACCATAAGTTGGACGGGGGGGTCCTACTCCTCCTCCTCCTCCCCCTCCTCCTCCTCCTCCTCCTCCTCCTCCTCCTCCTCCTCCTCGTCCTCCTCCTCCTCGCCCTCCTCCTCCTTCCCCCCTCCAACTTATGGTGGTGGTGGTGGTGGAAAACAGACCCATCAGACCTTGTTCTTGGCGAACATGCGCATGCGGTAGATCCTAAGACACGCGCTGCCACGGGCGTGCACGGCGCCAGCAGGGCCGGAGGCCGGCCGAGCCGGCAGCAGAACCGAAGCCGACCGAAGCGAGATCGAGCGAACGCAGCTTGGAAAGACGCAGCGGCACAGCAATGACGCAGCAGCCGGCCGAACCGGACCTACCGAACGCAACCGACTGCGACGCAGCCGAAGCCCGACTGAACCGAGAACGCCCTCGGCACCGCAAGCTTACCCTACCCGCCGCCGGATGGCTTCTGGACCCGACTGGGCAAGCCTGACCCAGACATCAGGCTGCTCCAATTTTTTCGATGCGTGGGCCCCGCAGGTCTGGACCACTTTCCTAGTGCCGGTTTCTCGTCCTGAGTCGTTTTTGACGGTCCCGAAGCCTGGCGAGGGCCCCCGGAGGCCGAAAACACCCAAAAACCGCCCGCTCCAATTTTTGTTGGAGCGTCGGATCTCTGGGGAGCCATCCCGCAGACGGCGGGGAGCACCCTCTGCTGAACGAGGGCCCAGCTGATCTCCAGAGCCCAATCGACCGCCCCGAGACTGGCACGAAGGAGCCCAGGCGTGCTCGCATCAACGGCAAGTTTTTGGCCAATGCCGTCCCCTGGGGGTCCTCGCCGGGCCTCGGAACAGTCAAGACACGATGCAAAACCGGCCCCGGGGGGAAAGGGTCGGGACTTAGGGGGGCGAAAAATTACATAAACGTACAAACTCGGAGGTCCGCGCGGATTTCTCGGATCCGCGCTGGGGCTCCCTGGCGGCGCCTCCGGCACCGCCCCTGGCACGCTCCGCGCGCCAGGGAGAGGGGTCCAGCGCGGATCCGAGAAATCCGCGCGGACCTCTGAGTTCTTATGTTTATGTCGTTTTTCGTTCCCATCGGACTTCCCGGGACCCCGTATGAAACAAATCAAGGCATCGCATGTCTGGGAAACAGGGCCTGAGGGGAAAGGGTCCTGGACCTCTATGGGCCTCCTCCGCGGAGCTCAGCACGGAGCCCCAAGACGGCCCACGTGTTGACCCCGACACGCATCGTATCGACCCAGACGTTTCGACCCGGTACGTCCTGCGTGTTCAACCCAAGCGTCTCAGGGAAACTGAGCTGCATAAACACAAACTTTCGGAGCTCCGCGTGGATTTCTTGGATCGGCGACCAGCTCCTCATCCTGAGCTGGTTTTTGATTGACGGTCCTAGGACCTTTGGAGGGGCCAGAGACCCAACCACGGCAAGACACCTCCACCAACTCCCATCGAGCCCCCTTCCAGGCATCCGACGATATGGTCGCTTCAATCCGCTGTCCCCGTGGTCCCATTCAACCCTCTGCTTCAGGTCCCCGGTCCGTTTTTGATGGTCCAGGTGCCCGATCACACGCCCCAGACGCTGACATCGGGAAGAACGCCAGGGCTGAAAGGTGAGAGAGGAGGAGGAGGAGGAGGAGGAGGAGGAGGGGTGAGGAGGAGGAGATGGAGGAGGAGGAGGAGGAGGAGGAGGATGAGGAGGAGGAGGAGGAGGAGGAGGGGGGAGGAGAGAGAGGAGGGGGAGGAGGAGGAGGAAGGAGGAGGAGGAGGAGGAGGAGGAGGAGGAGGAGGAGAGAGGAGGAGGAGGAGGAGGAGGAGGAGGAGGAGGGAGGAGGAGGCAGGGGAGGAGGAGGAGGAGGAGGAGGAGGAGGAGGAGGAGGAGGAGGAGGAGGAGGAGGGGGAGGGGGAGGAGGAGGAGGAGGAGGGAGGAGGAGGAGGAGGAGGAGGAGGAGGAGGAGGAGGAGGAGGAGGAGGAGGAGGAGGAGGAGGAGGAGGAGGATCCTTGACCGCTTGCTGGACCCAACTCGCCCCTGGCCAAAACAGTGTACCTTCCCCCTCGTCGGCTACATGCAAGAGTGACCCCAGGCCAGAGTGACCTGTGGTGCGCGAACTAAGGGGACGCAAGGTGGTCAAATCCAGGCGCGCAAGCAGCCGCTAAAGCATCGCGCTCAGCGATGGAGGGGACTCCGATGAGCCCGCACAACAGGTCACTCCAGCGAAGGGCCACTCTTACGTACAGTCGACATACCCCCACCAACCATCGTTTCATCCGAACCCTACCCACGACGACGACGACGACGACGACGACGACGACGACGACAACGACGACGACGACGACGACGACTACGACGACAACGACGACGACGACGACCTCAGGACGCGAGCACGTCTGGAGATCGAGCCCCCCGGGCAGCCGGCACGCATCGGGCGCCCTTCCCTGGCCGCCGAGGGCGGGCGCTTCGGCGTGGGGTTCTTCGGCGTCGGCGCCGCGCGGCCTACGATCTGGTACTGGCCGGGGAGCAGACCGGAGAAGGGCACAGCCACGGCTCGTCGCTTTCGTCGTCGCTTTCGCCGTCGTCGTCGTCGTCGTCGTGGTCGTCGTCGTCGTCGCCGCCGCCGCCGCCGTCGTCGTCGTCGTCGTCGTCGTCGTCGTCGTCGTCGCCGTCGTCGTCGTCGTCGACGGTTTCGTTTGAGTCATCGTCGTGGACGCTTTCAATTGAGCCGACGTATTCTTCCTCCTCCTCCTCCTCGTCCCCCTCCTCCTCCTCGTCCCCCTCCTCCCCATCCTCCCCCTCCTCCTCCTCCTCCTCCTCCTCCTCTTCCTCCGCCTCCTCCTCCTCCTCCTCCTCCTCCCTCCTCCTCCTCCTCCTCCTCATCCTCCCTCCTCTCCTCCTCCTCCCTCCTCCCTCCTCCCGGCCGCCGTCTGGGTCGGAGAGTTTGGCCGAGGGGCCTTGCCATGCCCCACCCCCCACTTGATGGCTAATCCCGCACCCGATTCGAGCTGGCGGCCAGGCGATGCTACGAGCGATTGGGTGGAATCCGACGTGGGCCTCGGGGAGCCGCCTCGAGGAGATCCTGTTACAGACCTCCTCCCTGGATGTTGTCGTGTTGACCGGCACCACGTCTTGCAGAAGGGAGGCCGAGAATGTTCTTGTTTCTTGTATCCAGAGGAGGAGGATCTATGAGTGTGCAGTTGTTCCTGGGAAATATACAAACGGGAGTTGTGGGGTCATGATCGTGCTAGGGGAGACATACAGGGAGAACGACGTGACCCGTGCCTGGCCGAGCCCACCCTCGGCGGGGGGAAGATCGACTGCGATACGTATCAGCAGGGGAAAGATCGATTCGTTGGTGATGGCCGTCTACTTCTCCCCCAAACCCAGGAAACAAAGAGACATTGCGCTGTACATGCAAACCGTCAGAATCCTGAAATTTTGGATGGATGCGGTGTTGAATGAGATCCCCCAGCGATGCCAGCCGATGATCTTCGTTGACGCTAACGATGGCATCGGGGAGACGAGGGAGAGGGGCAGCTGGCAGCGAGCGGAGAGTGATTCGATTGGCCCCACTGTGACCCGCGAGGCACGCAGACATGGAGCGGGTGAGGAGCTGCGACTTCTGGCCGATCGTCACCAGCTGGTGGTTGCAAATAGTCTCGGGCGTGGTGAATTCACGTATTTTGGACCGAACTCATGCAGTCTCATTGACTTTTGTCTGGTTGCACGTGGGGTACACGATAGTATAGAACGTTGCCACCCATTACACAAGCTGGGCAAGCAGTTGCAAGCGATCAAAGGTATGAGCCCTCGAGGTCACCTTCCTATTTACATCGCAGCGCATTCGGAGAAGGACTAGCAGTACAGAGTTTCAGCCCAATCGTTTCGTTGGGATCGTGACAAGCTAATGGATGCATTGAAGTACGGCGACAGGAAAGCAGACATTTCATCGGGAGTAGTAGACAAGTTGACGGCATCGGAACATGAGTGGATTTCTTAGATGATGCTTCCGAACCCAGATAAAGCTCTCGAGCTTCTTGAGGAGATCATGGTGACATGTGGTAAGGAGTTGTTCCAGCGGGGGCCGATGTCGAAGCAAAATCAAGAGGATGCGCTTCGGCGACAACGGCTTCTGGCAGACCGATGTCGGTTACGAGAGTTGATATCATCTGGAGTGGAACTTGATCAGGCGGAGACGGAGTTGAAACAGATAAGTCAACAGATGAAGAAGATACGACAGCGCCATTTACAACACCGACGTAAAGGATCGGAGCAGGGAAAGTATGAGGCTTGAGAGCAGAGGCAAGTCGCAATGGCGATGCGACTTAGTCGTTTTGCAGCAAGGTGTCGTTTCGGCCCCAACTGCGAGACTCGAGATCATTCAAGGGATCGTTTCCTACGGCAGCGGAGTGGCTACAGCACAGGGAACAGACAGGTTGCGACGGCGGGATGAGTGCTACAGAGATTGACTGGAATGTTTGGCAACCGCAGCAACTCAATACTGCAAGGTCGCCCTGGACGGAGGCCCACGTATGTGCTGCGGAGGAAGACTACGAGCGGATTGAATTTAGATCTCGGCGGGCCCCGCGCCGTCGAGCTGTACCGGAGGGGACGACGCCTGCTGAGCTGTGGCATCTTTGTTTACATCCTCTGCGACAGATCTCCAATCGCAACCGTCGTGGTCTTGGCTGTCAGTCAGAATTACCTGACATGACTACATTTCGTGATTTCATGGTGGCTGGGTTTCGGAATATTCGACGTAATGCACGAGTGCCAGTATGCTGGCAATGAAGTTCGGGACGCGAATGAAGGAAATCGGATAGGCCAGGCCCTGCTGGGAAGCGTGTGGTACACATGTTGCCGCCTATTGGAAAGATGGTCTTTGCTGATGTACTACAGGTGCCATCCGACTTGTTCGACCACGGCTGTGTGCGGGCGAGGAGGAGGGAGGACGCGATCTTAGGTGTTCAGGTGGTTTCTTGGAGGCTGTCTCAGAGTGGGTGTTCGTACACAGCGAGTTTGAAAGATCTATCTAATGCATTTGCGTGTGGGGATTGGGAGGAGTTGGAGTCCACGGTCCAGCAGCACTCGAGATGGGAAAATCATAAATTAGCTGTTCAGAGATTTCGAGAGTATACTATTAATCTCCCGAGTGCTGACCGAGATGTACTTATCAAGACGGGGGAAGGAGGATCGATGGGCGACCCACAGTTCGATTGTTTCAAGGCACGTTTCGACGTCCCATCCTCGCTTGGCTGTGTCAGATCAAGCCTGTACCCATGAAGTCTCTCGAGTGTAGGTGGACGAATACCGTCGTGGACCTCTCCCTTTGGAATTTTGCAGACGATTTGTGGAAGTTCGACGTGGCGCCACCGGAGTGCCTGTTGAAGGATTTTGTTCAGCAGCTAGCCGTTTCAGATTCCATACTTAATTTGGAGCTGGAGAAGATCGGATATGCCCAGAACATCTCGAAGCAGGGGTTCAGGATCTAAGGTGCAGATGCTGCTCGGTGTAAGCGGTGGCTAAAAAACACATTCCTGAAGTCTTGG